ACCTCAAGGAAGTTCCAGACTCCTACTTGAAGCCTATCAGGATTTCATCAAAACACGTTTCACAGACTCGATGTAAACAGACTAAATTAAATAGGCAAAGATATTACTGAGTGTAAAACTATAATGAAAGTAATTCAATTAACTGAATAATACAACTCAGTTACAAATCACAGATTCATATATTCGATTAAAGTTTTTGTATGATTGCTAAAGATAGCTCAGACCTACAGTTTAATGTTTGAAAGTTGGGTTATTTAATGGATGAGCTTTTTCATTATGACTATTATGTGTATTTCGTTTTAGATTGTTTGTTTAGGTAATATATTTTTCACATGTATTACTGGAATGAAAGGCATCAGCCGGAAACCTTTAATCTTTAGGTGGACATTCTGTTGATATGTTAGCGGTGTATGTGTGATCATTTCCGGTGCCACAATGGATTGATTATAATAACCTACAACTAGAAAAAATCAAACGGAACTAGAGAGCACGGAACAACAAAAGCAGTAATTACTACGACCATCTTGTTTACGACAGAATCCCCCACCTTTTAATAATTGTCCTATCATCACAACTTACCCCGCGCGCCATCACTGCTAATAATTTGAGCTCACAAAGTGTTATTCCTCTTCTCCTGAAAACAGACTATAGATTACATGTTAGAGCTTTTAATTCCCGTGACCTCTCTAGTGTAGGTATAACATTACGTTCTAAGGCAGAACAGGCTCTCCGAGACTGGATCCCAATACACAATCGCTTGTTCATCGTTCAGCTAAACAGGACGGTACAAACTCAGAAATATGGGACCGTATGTTGTTGATTTTTCTTTGTCTCTGTTTACTCACCCAATGACTACAGCTCGAAGTTATTGATGGATTTCATATTAAACTATTCAAATTTCGTCAAAAAGCTAAGTGCTCTGATATAGTAATAGTGGTTGGTGGTTTCAATGCTCAAGCAGATAGAATAAACCAAACCAGAAGGTACTTATATGGATCTTATGGTGTCGCGGCTCAGCAAACAGATAATAGTGATCGTCTGCGGCAACTATGCTGTGATAACAGTCTATTCTTGCAAACAACAAATTTAAACATTAGGAGAAACGTCATTTGACGTAACGACCTCCACAATTGACTCATCGATGGACTTAAAAAGATTTCACTTCTTCATTGAGGAATATCACTCATTCTGGACCACATGTTTCGACTCAGATGATGCTCTAGTTGGAGCACGTATTTGTAGGAGTCAGATTGAATGTAGAAAAGCTATAGCAAGAAAGTCTCTCAAAGTTCAACTTAATAATGAACAAGTCAAGAATATATTTCAGGAACAATCAAAAGAGTTAGTTAAACACAAAAATGATATCCATCCTGAATTGGCTCGGTATGATATCCAAATGGCCTGGGGAAACAGCAGTGATATTGACTAGCGACTTAAACCAAAATGTTTGGAAAATCAGTGGATTTGAGTGACATCCACAGAACTGGTAGATGCTCGGAAACTCATCTCGTTTGGCTCAGAATATGACAAGGAGTGGAGAACGCCAAAAAGTAGCCTTATAAGAAAGCCCACATAATGATCGTAAGCAGTGTCAGGTGGCGAAAACAGAAGAGATGGAAAAGGCTGCAGCGAGATGTAACAATGGAAAGTTGTTCAGACTTATCAAGAAAACAGGTATTAAAAATACAACTGTCAGTGGAACTATTTCGGAAAGAACAGGACTATTACTCATTCTCAACCCAGGAGGTTAAACCAATGGGCAGAACACCTTAGTGAACAGTTCAACTGGACTTCAGCCACGTTTCAGTTACTTAACATCTCCAGGCAGCCTGAATATCGAGTTGATGTGAGTCGTTTAACCCTTAATGAGGTTGAAAATGCTATAAACAATCTAAGGCGAGAGAGAGCAACAGGGCCTGATGAATTACTCTTTGGAGACTTTAAGAATCCAGATCCAGAACTGAAGTTTTAGCTAGAATCTGGGATAACAATCAATATACCAACGCCAAGGTTTGGCTAGATAGTTCCAAATAAATTGAGCATTGGGTCGAAAGTTATTTATAAATACATTAACTCTAAAAAATTGACTTACATAAAGCCACAAAACGTTAGAAATACGATTTTTCTACATCCCTGCTGTCCACTGTATCCCATGCTTACCCCAGGTGTTGACGTCTTCGTAATCCAGTCGATCACCAGGAGAAAGTGAAATGGTAAGAGTAAGCAACCTTGCCTGACACCGGTCTGTACTCGCTAAACAACGCTAACCAGAAAAAAATAACTCAATCCGTTTAAGCTCTGCCCTGAGAGTTAGGTCTTCATTTGAATGAAGTACTTTTAAAATATGTTTGGGCTCATATTGGTATAATCCCAAAGTACTAATAAGGAACTCAAACCCACCTCAAGTATTTGACTATTTATTTACTAGACTGATGAATAAATTCCTTACATTAAAGTAATATCTTTTATAAATTTAAGGAAAAACGCTTTAAAATGTGTTGCAAGTCTCATTTTCGTGGTTCATAGTACATCGTAATGCTTGTGAGCACATCTATTCTAGTTTCTCGAGGATTTTGTTCAAATATAATCAAATCAAAAAATCCTCATGATATTCTAAGCTGATACGCCGTTTCACAGTATTATAATATTTTAATAGTTGAAATCATGAGTCCATTGAAGCTAGACTACCATGAAAAGCTTGGAAGCACTGGACGGCCGTTTCGTCCCAGTATGGAACTCCTCTGCAGCGCGCATCCACGATCCCATCCCCTGCAAGATTCTAACCCAGGATCTATCGGTCTCGCGTGCAATCGCTTAACCACTAAACCACTGAGCTGGCCGGAATTCAACGGTGTTAATGTCTAACTTCAACCAATCCACGGAATTGAGCCACCGTCCACCATTGTCTTCACAACAGACCTAGTTGAACTCCACTGATCACTGCTTCTCACCAGAACTCCAGGAAATACAATTGACTCATGATTTCAACTATTAAAATTACTATAATATCCACAAAAGCCTCTTCTGATATTATAAGATTTGTTGATTATGAATTAACTAAACGATAGTACATATATCGAATGGGACTTAAAAAATATTATTTGGTTTCTCACAAATGTTTGTCATTCGATACTCAGTTGCTGAATAATTTCGCTATTTTTGTTACCTTTACATTATTCTATAATTTTAAAACTAAAAAAAGTATACTTACATTCGTTTAAGAATTGATTATTTTGTCTAATCATGTTTATAACTCAAGGTATTGAATAAGTTTTCAAGGTTTCTATGGGACCACTTAAATTATAATTCCCCTTTTTTCAAATAAAACTATTCACTTTCTATCTCTTATTGATTCTGCTTAATTTTTATGAATAAAAAAATAGATGTATTATTACTCTGAATGCAAAATGGTTTCCATACGTTTCACATTTCTGCTTAATCATTGCCCACTAATGTAACTCTACTAAAGAGATAACCAATTACAAATGAGATTGATGTTAACGTTAATTTTAAATTGTGATTTGATGCACTGAAATATTTACAAACACTGTTTTTTTACTATATAAATTAGAATTCTATTAGTGTATTGACTGGAATTCTGTCTGATAAATTGATTATCGAAAGTAAATGTCAAAGCAAGAAAGTAATCTATGTGTAGACGATAAGTCAGCTACAAAAACTACGGAACCGTCTCATAAAAAATCACTTGTTTGTTGTGGAGAGTATGGGCGTACTGTAGCTCATGGCCTATTTCGAAAGAAACATTTCAAAGATATATTTCATAATGATCTTAATAAAACTTTAACAACCATAAGTTTGATTCTTTATGGCTTAGGTAAGTTTTTAGTAAACATTTTGAAGTTTTGTCTACTTATATATTTCAAAATATTGATTGCGTTAAGACGTCATATTACATTGATGAAATCAGCTGTTTGATATTCCTTAGCAATACGTCATTTTTGTTTATAACAGAAACAATGTACTGATTCGCTTTTTCAATCTCATACTCTTGTATGTTTTAAATTTTCAAGAGACTTTACGTATGCTTCTCAATTGAAAAAGTGAAAATCTTTCCTACAGTAAAAATGTGTTTGAACGCTTTAATTCTGTAACAGAGGTAACAGAGGCGGAATTAGCTTTTAAAATGAACTATTATCCAGTGGAAACTTACAAAACTATTAGTTATTAGTTTATTTTCCAAATGAGAATAGGTACTTTTTCCAAGTCAAAGAATTATCGAAGCCAGAGATAAGATAATTGCTTTGTTTTCAGAGATTATCATACACTAGTTCCATTGGTCTCAATACGTGGGAAACGCTTAATTTCTGAGAGTCAATAGCGTCTGCAAAAAGGTTATTGAAATACTGTTTCAGTAATAAATGCAGCTAACATTTACTGGGTGAATATAAAATCATTAGAAAGTTCGATAGACAGGATTCCATTACAATACACATTACAATTTTACAGAAGATGCTTGTTAGTTCTGTGTATTGGTGAAATGATTTTCGAATAGAATAAGAAAATATTGGCAGACACATATGTCTTGGCATTCAACCTTGAATAAAGTGTGAGACTTAAGAACCGTTACGTCTATTGTTTGATTGCTTAGGGAATACATGTTAAACTTATGGATGGTAGTTTTCGATTATTTCGTGAATAACTAAGGAAACGTATTGTACGATCTAACTGATACCTATACAGCTTGACCTATGGTCGGATGAAAACACACAAATGATAACTTGTTTCCGTTAAATTGGGATAACAACTTTTGAAGATGGCAATTTGTTTGCATCTGTGCAGCCAACCGGTGGGCCTTATAAGACCTGGTTATTAAGGGTCCATTTTTTGGTAGATTATAATGAACAAAATATCTATGAAGAGCTTGTGAGCGAGGTAATAAATTGTTGTTTGCTACTTTACAACTCTGAATCATGGTAACTTTATCATAAACTTATATGTAATACCCTAATTTAAGAGCAAGAATAAGAGATTGTTCTTAGAGAGAGCAAGAACGAAGATTGGTGCAGATTAATATGAACTTATTTTATTTCGTTAGGTTCTCATCAGCTGCTTGCAACTTATACATACGAGGGTGATGAAAGATGAATATATGTATCATGATGTAGCGAAGACTTCAAGAGTTAATAAGGTTAAGATAATAACGGGAACTATGTGTAAGAGATTTTTCATTTAGCTAGATCTGGCGTTTGTGACTTAAGAATGAAAACCACATTTTTGAAGTAATTTTAGGGTTATTTTGTTACCTTTCATCTTAACTGGTTGTTAATATCATGGTTTAGACTTTTAAAATACCACAAAAAGTAGCAAGTGTCTAGAAGACGGTGAATGAGCTGGAACAATTGATTTTAATATGTGATTTCCAACAGATTTATATCTTCATTAACAACTTAAAACAATTTCAGTAATGTGATCAGTTAAAGATTTAGTATCACTTAAGCTACTGTGTTGGAACATACAATTATCGTAGTTTTTTTCATTTAAAGAATTTGAATGATTCAGAGGACAACTAGAGTGCTGAAGACATTACGATTTGAATTTCGTTTCAAAAATAACCATCTAACTGGGTTTTCGCAGTATAGTCAGATCAAAACAAGTTTACGTAGATCTATTAACTTTTCCTATCCAAACCAGATAGAAGAATTATCGTTTCGTTTTCATTTTAAATGTTTTGTATTTCAAAGAACACGTAGGCACTTTTTGTTATTGCTATGTTCAAAATTAGTCTCAGTTTATTTGATAGTGAATCAATAATTCTGGAGATAAACATGCTTTACTGAAGAATTAGCAGTAAGTTAATTGGTGTTTTGAATTGTTAATTTTGTAGATTTCTCTTATGATCGAATATTATCTACAAAATCCAGTGCTTGATCTGATTAATAATTAGTTTTACAACTAAAATAATTGATAACTATTAAGAAATAACACTTAGCATTATAAGCAAAGATGGATAGTGGCTAGCAGTGGAATTCAGGACGCGTGTTTCGTCCTGTCTGAGAATCGTCAGCTGGATGTACCTGCACCTTCTAGTTGATGTTCACTCTGGGACTCTAACTTGGTACCGTCCGCTTCAAATGTCATCGCCTTATCTACGTCGTTACCAAGTCCTGATAGCCACGTGCTTGTGAAATGGCGTGAAGTTTAAATTCACTTAGCATTGTCATATCCTTTCATTTTGTTAAAGTATTTTAATGAGAAACGGCAAAAAACGGTAATTTTATAATATAAAACTTTGTACAGAAATAATAATTTCGACTGAATATCTGTCATGTAACCCTCAAAGTTCCCAAAGTTCATGAATTAAGAAACTGTATTTATAGGGGAAAAGCTATGTTACTTAATTATCTTAATGTTATCTAATCCTTAGTGTTAACAAAATTTTATCCAGTAATTATGTGAAGCATTCAGTAAACTTTTCACATCATTTGAATTGCTCATTGATAAAATCACTAATTGTGAGCACTAGACAACTGAGGTCCCAGCGTGTGAACAGAAATCAGTTTCACGTAGATTTCGTGTACATCTTACTCACATGTGTCAACAAGTACAACCTCTATTAATAGTTTTCTGTTATTTACTTTCAGATATTTGATAAAAAAAATCCATTAGCCATAGAAAACATAGTGGCACAAGTTCCACTATCTCACTGTCTAGATAATTAGGAGTGCTAATAAGTTCACCTCGGACTTATTAAAAGAAAAACAAATTTGAAACAAACTAACTAGTATTGGGTGATTAATTAGATGATTTCATTGGAGTCTTTTCCTAGATATATGTGACTAGAGCAAGAAGTAAACTTGTACGATAGTTGCTTGTAACCTTATTCGAAGTGACAAAAAATACTGGCTGTATCAAGAGAAAACATTATGTAAGAAAACCAAATTATTGACAGAATTGTGGTAAAAAAACCTTTGATTCATTAGTTAATACAGTTTTGAAAATGAACTTAACGTCAGACTTTAATATTCTCTTACCTTTTTTTCGTTATCTATAAGAGTAGTAATCCTCGTGGAGGAGCATGTGCCTCCTACTAGAATTCTCTAGCCAACTCTAGCCTGGGAAATCCTTTTAATTGCTGTCCATCATTTCCATATCTGCTTCCAGTTCTCGATACATTATGTTCTTTGGTCTTCCTTTTTCCGTCTCTCCTCAGGATTCCAATTTAGCGCTTGCCTGGTGATGCAGATTGGTGATCTCCTCAATGTATTTCTTGTCCACTTCTAACGTCTTTTCTTAATTTCCTCCTCAGCTCAAAACTGGTTTGTTCTCTGACACAGTACATTGTCGCTGGTGATAACCAGTCAGCAGACATTGAGTATCTTACGTAGACAATTGTTTATAAATACCTGTACCATTTTGATTATGGTTATAGTAGTTCTGGAAGATTCAGCAGCGTACAGTAGAACTGTCTTGACATTCTTATTGAAGATTGTGACTTTGATATTGGTTGAGAGAAAGTTGTTTTGAGTTGCCCATGTTGTTAAACTGTAGAGATGCTGTCCTTACTTTGCCAATCCTTGTCTCTACGTGTGCATCAGATCCTCCACGTTCATCGATGATACTGTCCAGACAGGTACGTGAATGTTTACACCTATTGCAGAGCTTCTCCATCAAGTGTGATTGTATTGTTGTTCTCCATGTTGTGTTTGAGGATGTTTCTTCCGCTATCGTTGCAGAGGTTGCTGCTGCTACTACACTACTTGCCTTGACCTGCATTCGTTTGTGTGTATGGATGGAAAGTGGTAGGTGATCTGTGAAGTTCAAATTGTCTAGTTGCATGCCAATCGTCCATTACATCCCATGCTTTCCATCAGATATGGAGGTCTTCCTAATCCAGTCGACCACCAGAAGCAATAGCAATGCTAGAGGTAAAGAGTAAGCAGCATTGTCTGACTCCGGTGTTTACTTAGAATATGCCTGTCAGCTTTCCTTCATACACCACTTTGCAGTGTAGTTCGTCGTATGAATTCCAGATAACGTTGATGATCTTTCCAAGTACTCACTCCATAGTGTCGAAGAAGTTTCCTTGCGGTTTTTTTATTCACACTGTCAAACACTTTCTTATAGTCAAAGGAACTGGTGTATAGTGACGACTTCCATTCAACTGATTGTTCAACGATGATCCGTGCTGTCACGATTTGGTCTGTGCACGATCAATCCTTACGCAATCCACTCAGTTGATCTAGAAGTTGGGAGTTTGTTCAGTCCTTCATCCGATTCAGCAACACTCGGTTGAAAACGTTTCCTGGTACCGATAGCAGTGTAATACTTATGTGGTTAGTTGCCTTACTTGCTCATATTTTCTTTCTTTGGTATCTTGACAAAACATCTTTGTTCCCAGTCTGTCGTCGGCACCTGTTCTTCATCCCAAATCTTCCTGAATATAACATGGAGCATGTTTGCTGTTGCTTCTATGTGTGATGTCATTGCCTCAGGTGGTATATTATGAGATCTTTATGCTTTTCCACTCTTGATTTGTTTGATGACCGGCCATCCTGATTTCTTCAATCGTTAAAGAGTGAAATATATAGGAAGATTTGTTTGTGGTGTTTCGATGTCCGGCAGGTCCAGTGGGGCTAGTGTATTCTCCTGATGATTAAGTAAGAAACAATTTCTGAAATTCAAATGAACGACAGTGATCAGTAGAGTTCTGTCATATAGATAGTAAAATGGGTGATAGTTGATTATTCAGTATGCAGAATTGATTATAGGTGACATTACCAAGGTTTGATTTGATAATTTCGAATAAATTGAGCATTGGGTTGATTGTTATAAATAAAAATAATATATTTGTAATATCCCAATGAGTAGAGAATTGGATTTTCTGACGTTTCGTGACTTAGTGTAAGTCACTTCTTCAGAGAATAAATAACCAAATTAAAATTAATCCAAGTTTAAATAGTACAATGGAACAATGCGAGAATAATATTCTACTCATTGGGATATTACAAATATATTATTTTTATTTAGAATTGATTATAGTTTGAAAAGCAACCTAGTGAATATCATCTTATTGGCCTAACTATAATACTTTAGACACAAATATTAGAGTTTGTTTGAATTTGTTCACTGTCTATGTACATTACCCAGGATACCCGTGATAGGACTAAACAACTCTTCGGTGTTTTCTAGTTTTCAGTCTATGATGTAAACTGAATTAAAAGTGAATAATCTCCACAAACTGCTTAAGCTCAAAGTATATCTTTATCAAATAGTCTGATAGATATTATGTCGTTACTTACAATAAAGTGTTTTGATTTATTATTCTTATTGTGTATTTAATTATTATAAAATTGATAAGTAAATATGCAATTTGTACTTGAGTAATTCTAAAGTAATTTTAGTTGTTACAATAATAACATAATTTGCATTGATTTCAGAATACAGTTTTCAAAAGTATGAATCATGTGTATCGCTTAGCTTATATACTAAAAGTAGCACAGACTAGAAATAAGTAAATAAGATGTGTTGTCAATATACGTTTGCTTGTGTTAAGAACTCATTTATATTTTGAAGTAATAAAAATATTTTAAGATTACATGATGTAACTATTCATCATATATAGTATGTGTGTGTGTGAATAAAGAATATGGGTAGATCATTTAGTGCACTTAAAACAATTTTCATTTATTGTGATAGACAGCAATTTATCGACTTGTGTTTAATAAACATATATCTTCATCTTCAAAATTGAAACTGGTTTACCGTGTTCAATTTAGTAAAGTGAATATGTTCATTGTATAAATAGTATCTAGGTTACTTTTTAATAGTTTAATGAATTGACCATTTGAATGAGAAATGATGTAATATGTTGGTAACAGGCATACAATGGTACATAGAACAAATACCTAAAATAATTTAATTAGACTTTCCTGTTGAAATGACTTGTATGTAACAATCGTTTGGTTATATTAAAGCAGACAATGAACTGGTGATTTGTTGCTACAATTTTGTTTGCCAACTAAATAGTTTAGTAAAAATGATGATAAAATAAATGGATCATTCTTTAACTTAATTAGTGTTAATTCTTTCATTAGGAAATGAAAACTAAACTAATCATTTTTAAATGTATTTTTGTTGTGTAGTAAACAAGCAAGCTACATTAACCAATGTACGGTTTATTGTCAATTATTTTGATTATGGATTCTTGTAAAACTGGTTATGATAAACTTTTTCATAAATTGTATTAATTCGGACTGATGAACTGAACATTTAAAAACGTAATAGCCAACAGAAATAGTGAGAAACATTGAATTTTATCTCTGTAAACTCTGTAGTAATAATAATAATGGTAATAATAATAATAATCATTGTTGTGATAAGTTTGATAAATTAATGAGTGAACAAAATGAAACTTGATTAAACAACATCATAAATTTGTTAGATGACTGATTTGTGTTTCAATCAGCTGACATTTAAGTGAAGTTGTAGAGTCTTTCTTATCACTAACTTATAAGTTTGAAGAATGTATTTAAAGACCAGTGGGAGGTATGACTTTTTCAGTTTTTCTTATTGATTACTCTGTGATTCATCTCCAAGGCATGCAATAAAATCATTATTAACCCAGCAGCTTAAAACTATTTATAATCTTTGTGTATTGAAATTGACGGGTTACTTTTAAGACGATTATGTTATTTAATAGTTGAATTTATCAGTCAGTTGAAGCTAGGTCACCATGGAAAACCTGGAAGCACTGGACGGCCGTTTTGTCCTATTATGGGACTCCTGGGTTCGAATCTCGCGAGGTGGGATCGTAGATGCGCACTGCTGAGAAGTCCCACAAAAGGAAGAAAAGGCCATCCAATGCTTCCACGTTCTCCATGGTACTCTGGCTTCAATTGACTCATGAATTCAACTACTAAGTTACTATAATATCCACAAAACCTCTCTCTGATTACGTTATTGTTTATTGAAAAATAAATGAAAATCGATTGGTCCCATTGTTATTTTTAATCTTAACTGTAATTAAATGTTAGAATAAGTTAGTCATTTCAATGTTTTCATTTCTAAATCGAATCAATAATTACCACGAATAGTAAAAATAGATTTTAGTTCAATTCAGTTTTTGATGTAAACTATAAATTGAATGATCTCCATAAGATTTTGATACAATGGATGATTTATAATATTTTCCCTCACTATGGTACACTACGGAAATACGATAGTATGCCAACAAGATTGGTCTGGGGGGGATCGAGTTAATGTTAGCACTGGATTGAATACTTAAACGATCCACTACACACAAACCAGATCACGTTATATACCCGACTCATGATTAGGAAGAGAGAACACAATTAACGCTAGAGAGTACATTATTAAACACATCTAAAAGCCGTCATTGTCAGTGGGTCCTTAATAGAAGTCGATAAGAGAAAGGAAAATAACATATTTTCTGATTATTAAGTTGAATGTCTCTTTGTCTACACTTAGTAACCAATCACATTTGCCTTCACTGCCACACATTAAGTTTAAAAATTATTCGACATACCAGAAGAATACAACATTGGTGTCTTGGAAATATATTCACTGAAGAGACGTTATTCATAGACACTTTGGATGCCGAATGCAAGCTACCAAATGTAATAGGTAATATCTTTCGATTAGATTTATTCATGGCTAGCGATCATCTCTAAGTCAGTATTTTGAGTTCGTGAAACTGAAACAATTTAAGGATGAACAGAAAAACAGGTGTTAAACGTCTTTGCAGTTTTTGGCTCTTAACATGAGTCATATTTGGAAACATCGTCTTTCTAAGTTCTATTTTTTTGAGCTAAACCACGCATAACTGTTCGTATTCAATCTTTTCCCCCATTCTATAAATCATGAACTGCTCATCACTAAACATTTATTCAGATTTAGTCAAACTGTTTGTCTTATTTTAATTATTTTAAAAATTCTTACATCCACTCATTGTTTAAAGTAGAGGATATTCATAAGTAGCTAAGAAAATGCATGGTAATTATACAGATGAACATCTGCTAAATCTAAGTTTCTGTCTCCGAGTAACTTCGATTGAGTCTAGTGATATTCAAAAGAAAATGTGAATTCATTGCTTGACATGTCATTACACTGTGTAGATACTATTACAATAGTCCCCTAAAGCAAATGGGACTATTTTACATAAAAAAGATATTTACTCGTATACCTGGATTCTCGGTCAAATGAATTAGAATTGATAAAAAGTGTGTTACCGTTCAACAGATTGTATACTTTTTATATCCTTCTTATTTTTCTTGTGGATAGTTTAACAAACAAATTATCCTAGATAAACCAGTACAGTTTAGTTGCGTTGATCAAATCTGTGATCGAACCAAAACCGTTTGATTTATATGTTTTCTTTCAAAGTGATATATTTATTTTTATTTGTGTTCTTCTCATGCTTTATGTACGGTTCTGGATGTGGATAGCTGTGTATAAAACCAATGTGATTTAACTGTAAAAAAAGGTTTATCATTAGTTCAAGCTTTTGAGTCTGCAAATTGGTTTCATGAATCATGTTTATATATGCATTATCTGTACTTAAATTATCTTGTATAAGTATATAATATAGTGAGTACTCATGATGATGATTATTCTTCTTACTGAGGGAGATTTGAAGTAATTATTTGTAAAGCAACATGACATTATTGATAAATTTTAGGAAAGGAAAGTGAATTAATCCCATTCACTATTTGTTAAAATCATAATTAATAACCTTAGCTGATGAATTTTTACAATCGTTTTCTCTTTAGTTATCAACAGTGATTCGATTCATTTTAATAATAGTATAATTCAATTTGCTTTTTAGATTTCAGTGTTACATCTTTGTGATTGGGTATCATTAGGCTTTGGTAACTGATGAACACATTCTTTTCTAATTAATTTGAGTCCTAAAAGTTTAAATAATAAATTTCATTCAGAGTTTCATATTATGACATTGTACACCAAACTTAAGTCATTGGTTTAATACTAGTCTAGAGTTGTATTTTATCCATACCAAGGAACACTTGATGAGAACTGATAATTTTGTATAATAAGCTTTATCTTGATTAAATAAAGGTCATGTAGATGGTTTATCGATTCGAAGAATACTAAAACAAGAAACATGAGTTAAATACATCAGTACATAGTATGAATAGACAATTTGACAGTCACATATATAAGTAATTTCAAGTCGCCTTAAAGTATTATGATATTCATAATTACTATATTTACTTAAAGTCACTGATATTATAAATTTCAGCATGTATGCTGGATGGAGGCATTTATGTGTCAACTGGTTCTGTAATAAATGCACAAACTGGACCGAGTGCTTTTCTTGCTTATATTATAGCTACTTTTGTAGCAATATTAAATTCTCTGATATATTCAGAATTAGCATGTTATGTTCCAAAAGTAAGTAATTGTTTTTTACCAGTTCTTAATTAAATTAATTGAAAATTATAAAAAAATTCTTTGTTCCATTAATTTCACATTTAATGTTGTATGAATGTCTGATTTGTTATGGAATTGTATATGAATTGTTAGAATTCGGTAATAAGGATATTGGATCGATTAGTCTATGTCAATCTTTGAAGTAGGCACCTCTGCTTAGACTCATTTTCTATTAGTAAAGATAATCGATGAAATTATTATTATTTGTGTTAAGTATAAACAAACTATTTTACTTTATAAATAACTACCAGAAACCATTGGCGTAATTTTCCTTTATTGCTATTGTTAAGAGATCTTCCAAAGAAAACGGAGTCTTCCTCAGTAAATGAACTTATACGAATAAGAATAACATGAACTTTTTAAAATCATAAATTTTCGGTTAGCCACTCCCTGATATTTTAATGTGGGACTCCCGAATGGTTAAAATTCATTTTTTGATGGGAATGCCAAAATGTGTCTTTTAGTGATTGGATTAACGAGATAGAATTTATTATTTAAAAGTAAAAAGTTCTATTAATATACATTTACTGGTTTTAATTCTTTTTAGGATGTTGCATGTTACGGACATGCACACAGCATTCTTGGTGAACTCCCAGCATTCATAACTGCATGGTCAACGTTTATTGATTACATACTAAGTGCATCACTAGTTGCACGTAGTTGGAGCAACATAATCGACACTTTTTCAGGAAACAGGATAAGTTCGTGGATAATAATTACATTTGGAAGGTAAGTAAACTATCTTAGAGTTAGAAACTGAGTGATATGGGATTGATTCCTTCAGTGAACACCAGTAGCCTGAAGAATACAGGTACACCTTGCTGACGAGTGATTACCAACACGAAACTAAGGTCTAGGGTCTGTTATCAACTACTTCTAACCACATTACAACGAAATATAGTTCACGCGATGTCAAGTCACCTAGATTGGTGTCCATATTATAACTTGGTAGGCAGAGTTCAAATAGTACTTAATGGACTATACAAGCCTGACATTGATCACGATTCCGTAAGCCGTCAATGTACAAGCGAATATATATGTCAGTCATTTTGTTTGTTGAGATCTGTTTCATAAGGTTGGTACCATTCATTTATTCCAAGATATTAGTCTACTTGAATATACTATTAAATAAATTCATTGAAATAATTAATTTATTTATCCTGTAAAGTTGTGTTACTTCTTCACTTCTTAATCTAAGAAGAGTAAACCTAACCAATCGAAATCCTTTTACAGTGAGCCTTTGGTTATTTCAATAGTATAGATATATTTAACGATCAACCAAACTATCTTAGACATTCATATTAAAAGGAATATTTTTATTTTATCACTTATTTATCCTGTCTTTTTATGACAATGATATATTCACCTTAAAAGTTCAATTACTTTACAGGGTGTAACTTGAGCCGAAAAAATTTGTAGGCTTAGTTTAAAATCGTTGAAAATTTACTCATCTAAAAATGTACTTACAAAAGTGGTAAAATAGTGTGGTTTGTTTTATTCAGTTACACTATATTCTCATGGTTTTTGGAAGTCATTTATAGTCAGTATATAATACTATAATTCAGAATAAGTGAATGGTTTCAATATTAATTGTAATCTTTTCTTGTTGTTTGTTTCAGTGTTATTCTATAATTGCAGTTCAGAATTTTAACATTTCTAGTACCATGAAATACCTTTTTTTTACGTATAAAACACGTTCCCTAAGCTTTGTGATATTAGTGTATAGTTTGAAGTAGTCCTATAAATCATCCATTTTCGCTGTTAATTTTAAATGAAATCAGTAATGATTAGTAGATTGTATCCGATTTTATAATATATAGTAACTCTATTCAAAGCAGTGTATTATGAGTTACTCCTAGTACTTCAGTTACTTCTGATTTTTAGCTATGGGTTCACGGTTCACTGTAAAGGAAAATAATGTCATGAATCTGGATTTGATCACTTTTAGGGAAGTTTGAGAACTGTTAGATTATTGAATACAACACAGATCAAATAATAATATGCAATGATACAATGTGGTTGGTGATAACTCCTGATAAAACTGGATTTTTGATGTAGACCCCTAGTCGAACAGATTTCGCCAATAAATCAGATCGAAACTTGCATTGTAATCACGAATAAAAATAAGGAGGTTAACAATCAACGTAATTACATACTTGTGCATTATTTTAGTAGAATCTCATTATCGTTTTGGTGTTAGTTTCATCATAGAAAATTCCTGACTCAACAAAGATGTATGTGTCACTTTATAATAACTGATAGTAACTAACGAGATGATCTGTCTTTAATCAAACAAATTCAGTCCACTTACGAGTGATACTATTATAAGTAATATTCGGTTGATTGATGATCTACCTTTTCAGTGTACACTGAAGTTTCCTACAGTACTAGTAAAAACTAGGTAACTTTTAATGTATGAAATTTGGAAATCTTGTAAGAACAGTTAGTAAAAAAGTGATTTCATGAAAGGATAAAATGGACAGCGGCTAATGCACCCAATAACTATTGATACACTTTTAAGAACACGTAGTTCCCTCTCGTGGAGTTGTGGCACAAATATGACAGGTTGCGAAATATCTCCAATGATTTTATTGACATTCGTAAAGTGACATACATAAGTTGATATCAAAAGAAATTATGTGGATATACAATTTATGTATTAACTAGCTATCCTAGTAAACAGACAGAAGTAAAATATTAAATATTATTTAGGCGTTCTATATTATCCTATTCCATAACATTATACTACCACAACAAGGAAAGGTGATTACATTTGTGACGTGTTGAATAATCTCAAAAACGTTTATCTGAAGAGTAATGAGGTAAACAAAATTCAGAAAACAGTTTAATTCCTTTGTTTCTTCAATGTAGGGGAAATATTAGTAAATTTTATAGGAAATTATGGTTTAATCTCACATTTTAGTTCGAAAACGTGATGTATTTCATTAGCTTTATTTGTAATACTTCTACACTTGAAGAGATGGATGTCTAGCCTAAGCTCTACTAGTAATGCAAACACTGATTAGACACTTTTAAGTAGTGGTTATTAAAAGAAACGATATAAACTTCATCTAATAAGTTTTTATGCATGTCTAGTGTAGAGAATTTATTAAAAAATCTGAGCATGAATAAACCGTTTTACTGAAGAACATATTTCGAGACGTCAGGAGATAGTAAAGTTTAAAGAAAATTAATGATCCGAAAGTTTTTCAATCGTAGGTAAAATCACATTTACTCAGTGTTGAAGGAATACCAAGTAAATCTGTTGTTAGTCATAAGTTTCTTTAAACAGACGACTAACATTAAAATGAAGTAAGCAAACTAATCGGTATAAGCTATAGTTAAAACAAAATCTGAGTATCTGCCCTATATCAGCTGATTTGAATTGATTAGTCTGTTTAAAACCCACTATATGATCAATTCTTACTGATTTAGAGACGTAATTAACATAATTACTCATTGATGAATTACTGTGGTTTATTTAGATCGTTATAATATTTGTTTCATAACAATACCGCAATATGAATTAATGAAGAAAATTTTCAGTCTAAGCGACTGGTTTTATAACATAGTCTTTCTCAAGCTGGATGACTTAGATGTGAAGGTTTACTATAATTTAAAACATGTCCAATTACAATTTCAGAAAGATTTGAGTTAGTTGATTTGTCTGCAAGTGTAAAATCATTTGATTCAATGACCCTGAGTGGCACTGAGTGTTCTCGAAATTTTGGGCTAATCCAACGCATTTGATACTTCCTTAGAAATCAGTTAATTGTTTCCTTATCTCACTAGTGGACTTTAAGAAACACTCTGACTTTCCCGTCAATTTTTCTTATCCAATGTTGTTTTATTGCTTAACTACGAGTTTAAAAACGTTCACTAGTATTTTGTATTATTAAGTGAGAATGAATTCAAGGTGTAGCATATTCGGGAGAAGTGAAATGTTATAATATAGACTATTTATAGTTTCACATAGGCAAATCCATACCATGTCAAGCATCTGATCACCAATAATCCTCACAAGGTTGATTCTTTTATTGACATCTATCGGTTTAGTGGAAAAAGCCACTCGTTTTTACTAAATTTGTAATACAAACTACACATTATAATCATATCTCTAAGAAATTTTAGTTTCAGTATATATGGCTAAATTGTCTTTTGTTTTTCATTTCAAAAAATTACTTTTATAGATTATCATCTCCAGATGGATTGTTGTCAGAATATCCTGATTTCCTCAGTACGATAGTGATTCTTATTTTTGGCATTTGTTGTTGTTTTGGACTACGTAAAAATTTAGCTTTGACCGTGATCTCAAGTGCCGTTAACGTTGGAGCATTATTGATAGCTACTATCTATATGTTTATTCATGCTAAAACAAACCATTATTCCATAATATATCCTGGGATTACAACAAATATTAAATATTTTCTACCTTATGGGATTCTCGGTTTATTAAGTGCAACAACAATTAGTTTCAATGCTTTCGTTAGATCCAGTGCACCATCATCACGTGCACAAGAAGTTAAACGTCCTCCTTATAGCCTACCTGCAGCCAGTGTAACCAGCATACTCATCGTGGGACTCGTCACTACATTATCTGCATTAGCACTGACATTATATTATCCATGGTTTTATGTCGACGCAGAAAATGCATTTTTAAATGCATTGAAAGATAACAAAGAATCTACTGGTGCAAACTTTGGAAGAGTATTCATGTTTTGTTTAGTTGGCAGTGGGTTTGTACTTGGATTACTCACCAGTTTGATATCACCAATGTTGGCCAGTATAAATATTTGTTTAGCTATGGTCCATGATGGTTTTATGCCATTCATGTTTTCTCGTGTTTGCCGACCCTTCAAGGTAATTTTTTAATCGAAAAGTTAATGATATAAAGATATGCACACAAAACCCAGTTGTAATTTTGTTTGATATATGTATATATATGCGTTATCCCAATCAAATTAAATCGCGTTAAATTAAAGAGGCTTTCATCACTCCTTTTCTTTCATCATTACTTCGAATGCGCTCATGATGACTGAATATTATAAGTTGTGTAGTAATATGACGTAAAACATACACCAGTGCGCAATAAAATAATAAGTAACGCCAGATTTTAATCTACAATGCTAATGATGTGTACTGATCTATCAAGTAAAATGTAGGAAACACATCAAGTTATTCGGTAGACAATATGTCTGCATGTTAGGTGGCTGAGGGAAATCGCTAAGAAACTCTAAACTTAGGTTCTTTATGAGACTAATGCTCTCGCACGGAGTTGATACCTCCTCCTTCAGTTCTACGTCCTGAGGAGTTACTATTGAGTTATCCTAGCCTTGGCCAACCTCCCATAGATGGTAGTCATTTGTAATGTCTCGGAATGTGAAGTTGAGTATCTCAGGATCGGATCCACCCGAGAGCTTCAGTCACGTTATGATTACAGGTAAACCTTGTTGGTGAGTGTCAAACAGTTAAAAACTCAGGTATAGGGTTTCCTTTCGACTTGCTTCAACTGCAAAACATCAAAACGTATTGAATGAGAAATATAGTCACTTAAATGAGTGGCTACGTTACGGCTTGCTCAATAAAATTTGATCAGCACTAAACGGACTATAGAAATATAATGTTGGTCACATATTAACCAATCTAGTTGATTTAACTTGTGGAAATGTGATATTTTTAATTTATCACTAATAACATTCTTATTTGTCTTTCTTTTTTGTCTTCTTTATTCAGAGACCACTAATGACGACAATATTCATTATAATTTTCACATGTTTGTTTAGTACAATATTTACTGTACAAAGTTTGGCAAGTTTTTTAAGTTTAGGCACATTAATTGCCTATTGTATTAGTGCTATCAGTGTCTTATTTCTACGTTATCGATCACAGACAAATGATCCTGAAGATATAAATGAATATGATAATGCTAATTGTAAAGGTTTTGAAAACTATCAGGTAAATACATGTCTAATGCATTTCACATTCACTAATAAACTATTAAATGGTTAATTCACTTGGTATCGTTTTACTTGAATCTTCCCATTGATGTTTTAGGACTGAAATTGATCAGTCTGTTATTGGCATATGTGCATACTGTGCGTATGCCTCGATGTTGCCTTAATTTACAAGCATTATAGGCAAAGATGGATAGTGGCTAGCAGTGGAATCTAGGACGCGCGTTTCGTCCTGTTTGGGACTCGTCAGCTGGATGTACCTGCATCTCAGAGTTGATGTTCACTCTGGGACTCGAACTCAGTACCGTTCGCTTCAAACGCCATCGCGTTATCCACTTAGCTACTGAGTCTTGATAGCCACTTGCTTGTGCAATGGGAAGATTCAAGTAAAACAATACCAAGTGAATTAAACTTCATCCTATTGCACAAGCAGGTGGCTATCAGGGCTAAGTAGCTAAGTGTATAACTCAATGGCGTTTGAAGCGAACGGTACTGGGTTTGAGTCCTAGAGTGTACATCAATTCTGGGATGCAGGTACATCCAGCTGACGGGTCCGACATAGAACGAAACGCGCGTCCTGGATTCCACTGCTAACCACTATCCATCTTTGCTTATTAAATGGTTAATAGAAAATTTACCTAGATGGAATGTATTTCTTTATCGAAGAAATCAGAGCATAAATTAGATATGACAAAGTTTATTTTATGTTTTGTCTCAACAAATGATAAAGTATTTTTTTCGAAAGAATCTTTCGGATTACAAAAATATTAAGCTAATTCACTTTTAAGCTTATTCAAAGATGATACCATCTTGATGGATGGACCAAACCATCCAGCTCAGAGAACAAAACTCCATCAAAATCATCCACCTAAGCTACAAATCTTCTCCAGCATCTCGATGATACCATCATTTAGAAAGTTTGTTTTGAAGACAAGGGCTCCACTATGAACTGTATATATTATACAAGGACTAGTGATTGCAGCTTATTGTAATTGACTAAATCATTTGTCATAAATATTCTGGCTGATTGATTGCTGATTATTTCACAACTAGTGGTTTTTGTCCTCTTGTAGGTCAGTGAAAATAAATCGCTAAATAGACTAACTAACCCGTAAATTATTTTCTTCCTTACCTCTTGATTAGTACGTAACCTCATATGTTATTTGGTCTCGAATCCATTTTTGTGATTCCATCTTTCCTATCCTCCTATAGACATATATTTTTCATATAACTATATATACGAATGTACAGCTTAAGCCCATGATTTCGTCGAAAAGAAAATTTTCTTCGCTGAATTCTCTTTTCCTTATTCAATATGATATATTTTACTCAGTTACTTTACATACTTGCTGAAAACTATTCATGATATGTATGTATGTATAATTTGTGATACATCAATTTGATTTTTCTCTATGAATGTTTTATTGCTTCACAGAATGCATATTACAGTAAGCGAATTGGTCAACCAGGATTCATTAAAAAGAAAATTGGTTTCCGTTTATCTGATCGTATGTTAAAATTTATCAATTCTGGTGTTCCTGGTAGTATGGTTGTTTTTTTGATATCTATTTATGTAATATTGAGTATTGCATTGGTTGGATGTTTGACCTTTGGAGTATCTGGTAGAATAGCATCATTTACGAAGATCATTGCTACTGTACTTACTATTTTACTACTCATGTTAACTATCATTTTCATCAGTTTTATTAAACAGTTCAAGTCAAATGATGCTAATTTATATCGAGTAAGTTATCTATTATTAATACTTTTAAATAAAATATTTTCTGTTGAAACAACCTAGTCAAAATTCACTTGATGTTGTTTTACTTGTATCTTCCCATCGTTATTTAGGACTGTAATTAGTCAGTCTCATGTTGGCTTCATCGAGGCAATCCGCACAGGATGCACATATGCCAATATGAGACTGATCAATTGCAGTCCTAAATAACAATGAGAAGATACAAGTAAAACAACATCAAGTGAATTTAAACTTCACCCCATTACACAAGCAGGTGGCTATCAGGACTCAGTAGCTAAGTGTATAACTCAATGGCGTTTGAAGCGAACAGCACTGGTTTCGAGTCCTAGAGTGAACATCAGTTCTGGGATTCAGGTACACCAGCTGACGAGCCCGACATAGAACGAAACGCGCGTCCTGGATCCTATTGCTAGCTACTATCTATCTTTGCTTAAAAACCTAATCAAAATATTGAAAGTGATTTTGTACGAGAACTAACATTGACTTGTAAAACAAAACGTTAATTTAGTTCTTTTTCCACTCTGATGTTTATTTATATGAAAACTGAATAGGCAAATCAGTCTGGTGTTGTCGTTTACATTGAACATCAACATGACAACAAGGTATAGTTCTAATGATGCTGATCTTTAAAAAAATAATTTAAATGATAAATGAAAGAGTGTATCAACAACCATCTATTCTGGCAATAATTTCTTATTATTGATTTATATTTTCATAATTCCTCTGATGAAAAGTTGATATATGATAACGTGTGATACATGTTAATCCATCATTTTATTACCGTGGTGTGAACATGAAATTGAATTTGACAGAAAAAAACTTTTTTGTGAATATTATAGTAATTTTAATAGTTGAGATCATGAGTCAATTGAAGCTAGAATACCATAGAATACTTGGAATCACTGGATGGTCGTTGAGTTCTATTGTAGGATCCCTCAGCAGTGCGCATCCACGATCCTGCCTCATGAGACTAGAACACAGGGCCTATCGGCCTCGCGCGCCAGTGCTTAACCACTAAACCACTGAGCTGGCCGGAATTCAACGGTGTTAATGTCTAACTTCAACCAATCCACGAAATTGCGCCACCGTCCACCATTGTCTTCACAACAGACCTAGTTGAACTCCACTGGTCACTGCTTCTCACTAGAACTCCAGGAAATGCCTCTTGATGCAAGTCCCTAGTGAGCATATGATGATTATAATCAGAGAAGGGTTTTTGTGGATATTATAGTAATTTAATAGTTGAATGCATGAGTCAACCGAATCCTTATATGTTATGAATTAATAACAAGATTTTGGTCAAGTACATTTGGTGACTATTATTAAAACCGCTCAGTTGACTTATACATAATAATGCATTAATAAACGCGATTTTTATGGTTATTACATAACGTAGACCAAGTATTCTCATTCAGATTAGGACTGTCTGTAATTAAGATGGGAATTGACAGGATCCTAAATCAACCGCATTAGAAATTTATTCGACTAAATTTATTTTACAAAACTATGAAACATCTAAATATGAAAATGAATTAGACAATTCATATCGCCAAAATTTCATGTTTGACCGAGAATTATAAGTCATCAAAGTAGTTAAGAGTTACAGTATTGTACATATTGTTCTTAAAAATTACCAGGTCTCAATGACATACATAATTACTAACATTACGGTAACATCTACGTTTAAATCTATCTTCGCGTCTAGTTTTACCTAACATCTGGAGCACGGGATCATTAAAAAAATACTGGCATCTCTCACCTTCTATATTCTGTGCATTTACAAGTTACAAATGTTCAATTATATATATATATATATATCCTTATTCATAACTATGTCTGAGCTCAAATAAAAAGTATATACGTGTACTTTATTTGTAAATAAAGTAAGATTGTCACTCGACCATGTTGCACAGTGTTTGATTAAGAATCATCTGACACCTCCATCCTCATAGAGGCTGATGAACCGAATAACACAATATTTATTATTCATATATCAGAAATAATCATTATTTCAGTGGTATTTTCGAACTTTCTTCCAGGTTCCGTTGGTTCCACTGCTTCCTTGTTTTACATTGACGATAAATCTACTCCTTCTTTCTCGAATTTCATGGTTTAGTTGGGTTCGTTATGGTATTTGGATGTTACTCGGTAAGTTGCTTCTCTTTCTTCGATTTATAAGAACAATGTACTAATGAGGACTTTAATACACTAGATTTTATCATAGGATTAAAATGCAGGTTGATTTTGATTATTATTAATATCGTGAACTGACCCAAGTTAAATGTTTATTGGTAGTCGGTAAGTTCTGGATGCTGTTTCATCCTAGTGTATGACTCCTCACCATAGACCCTGTAAGATGGAATCAAATGCAGGACCTTGGTTACACGAGAACACTTAAACTCTGATTATTCAGCAGGAATTCGGTAGTGTGTATATTTACCTTCAATCAACTCATTACAGTGTTTAATGGGAAACTGTCTGACACCCGGTGCATTAGAATTGTACCAACCACGGTTTTTCATTAAAATTCCAGAATTACCTTTCGAAATTAGTCACCAATGAGCACATTGTGGATGAACAGTGATGAGGAGCTTCATATTAGAAAGAAATGGCTTTCCAATGCTTCCTATGCTAATGAATGTCTAACTTAAATTAGTTCGGGATATCACTGACAATCACTAATCGCCACAAACCTCAGTGCTGATGACTTCGACTGTGAATTTACTACAATTAGTCTCTTTAGTAGATTTTTATGCAAAAAGAGCAACAAATAATATTTACAAAACCAATCTTCTATACGTAGACCATTTATTTTATAGACTAAAGGAATATGATTTATTGTAAGTAAATTCATAAGCGCTTTTGCTTTAAACTTCTAAGCAACTGTTTGTGTGAAAATACTCTTGCACAGTAGTACTTTAAACAATCACATCGATAAAAGTTATCATAAAATTACAAAGATTTCCTCTGCCATTAACTATTCTATTAGAAGGTTTACCAGATCATATCGAATGGCATCTACAAATATAATTTTCGATTCATTGTTTATTTTATTCATATAGGTTTTTCACAAAATAAGCTTAATTTTTACTACTGACATTATTTTACTCTACTAATATATCACATATGTTATTTACTAGGTTGATAATCATGAAAAATATAGATCAGCTGAATATACTAATAAATAACGTTAGATTCTGATTTATCGACCTATAGTTACCTTGTTTGTCGCAAAACTTGAAGCTTTCTAAGTTTGATCTCGTAGGGTGTTTAAAGCTATCATCAAACAGTTGTCTAGTGGATATCAGTTCATAATGAATATGACTTTCAAACAAGTGAAATAAATAATTTATTACTTATATTCCACAGACTATGTTTTCTATTGTTTTGTTTGTAAATAGTCCAAAGTATAGAAAAGATGAAGTTATCGCTAATGTATAATCATTATCATTTCACTATAAGTATTGTTTCCAAATAAATTAAAGATATGTTGGCCACTTTATAATAGTAAAAATATATATTTGTGATATCACAACGAATTAAAAATTGAATTTATGGAGTCTTCAAACATAAGTCAGTTCTTTAAAGAATAGGCAAATCTTTTTTAAATTCACAGAAGCTGAATTAGTATGACGAACAAATCATATAGAATGTTTACTACATACTGGTAGGTTTGATCATGTTAATGTTATAACATTCAGATCATGCGTGATTCTGTTTTTGGTGCACACATGTGTATGTGAATGGGTGGATAAAATTTGATATTCATAATGTGAACTAATCACTTAGTTTGCATGTATGTTTGTGGTATAGTAGTGAATAAACTGTATATGATTACTTGACAAATTTTTCATACTAATTAGATGGTTACTTTACGTATTTATGCCTGTCACCCCCAATGGAGCATAGGCGGTCGACCAGCATTATCCAACCTAATTAATTGATCACTGGGTGGTGATCAATGTAATGTATGTCAGATATTTATAAATGCAGACGGAATCTTATCGACCAGGTCGCAATGTGGCCACTAACAAAGACCTGACAAACATGACATTGATCACCATCCAGTGACCAATCAATTGTGAATACATCTCAGTCCAAAAGGAGGTCAGCCGCGGCCTCGATATCTCAGTGGTAATGTCTTTGACTGTGAAGCTGGGTGACACGGGATTGAATCTATCAGGGAGCATCAGTTATCTCAAGATAACATGTACACCTTGCTAAAGATTGGCAATTAGCACGAAACCTGTTGACCACCTCCGACCCACTCTGTCCTGGGCCTTCCTTTCTAGTTCTATCCAATTGTTTTTCATTCTTCTCATGTCTGTCTCCGTTTCTCGGCGTAATATGCTCTTTGGTTTTCCTCTTCTCCTTTGGCTCTGAGGACTCCAAGTGAAGGCTTGTAGATATGCTGCTCTTGCTTTGCCGATCCGCGCTATCACATTTGCATCAGATCCACTGTGCTCATCATTGATGCTGCCCAGATATGTAAAGGTTTGTACATCCTCCAAAGCTTCTCCGTCAAGCGTGATTGGACTGGTGCATGCTGTGTTGTACCGGAGTCTCTTGCTCTTTCCTTGGTGTATGTTGAAACCTACTGCTTCTGAGGCTGCTGCTACAGTGGTCGTCTTCTCCTGCATTTGTTGTTGCGTGTGCGATAGAAGAGCCAGATCATCTGTGAAATCCAGCTGCAACCTTGCTCTCCATTATATCCCATGCTTCTCTCCAGATGTTGACGTTTTGACAATTTAGTTGATCACCATTAGAAAGAGAAAGGGTGAGAGTAAGCAACCTTGCCTGACACCTGTCTTTACTTCGAACGAGTCTATGAGCAGTTTAATCCGTCACAGGAATTCCGTATGATGTTGACTATCCTCTGAGGCACGCCGTAGTGTCGAAGAAGTTTCCATAGTGTTGTTCTGTCCACGCTATCAAATGCCTTTTCGTAGTCAATGAAGTTGATGTAGAGTGATGAATTCCATTCAATTGATTGTTCCACAATGATCCGTAGAGTTGCGATTTGGTTTGTACACGATCTATCCTTACGGAATCCTGCCTGTTGGTCTCGAAGTTGGGCGTCTACGGATTCCTTCATCCTGTTTAACAATACTCTGTTGAAGACTTTTTCCGGTATTGAGAGAAGAGTGATGCCCCTGTAGTTATCACAGTTGTTGAGATCGCTTTTCTTTGGTATTTTGATCAGAAGTCCTCCTAATCAGTCTATTTGTACTTGTTATTCATCCCAAATCTTATTGAAGAGAATGTGGAGTATCTTTGCATTTACTGCTACATCTGCTTTCAGTATCTCTGCTGGAATGTTGTCCGGTCCTGCTGCTTTGCCACTCTTGATTTGTCTGATGGCCATGCTGATTTCTTCAATTGTTGGTGGGCCAACATTGATTGGGAGGTCCGTGGGTGCTGCTTCGATGTTGGGTGGGTTCAGTGGGGCTTGTTGATTCAAAAGTTGCTTGAAGTTTTCTACCCACTTGTTTTGCTATTCTTCAATGTGGTGATTACTTTGCTTTCCTTGCTTCTCACTGGTCGTTCTGCTTTACGATAATTTCCAGAGAGCTTCTCGGTTGTATCATAAAATTGTCTCATGTTTCCTTCTCTTCCAGCCTTTTCCGCCGTCGTTGCTAAATCTTCCACATATTTACGTTTGTCGGTTCGGATGCTTCTCTTCACTTGTTTGTTTACTTCTGTGTATTCAGCTTGTGCCTTGGCTTTTTCTGCACTTGTTCGGCTGGTATTGATTGCTGCCTTCTTGTTCCTTCTTTCTTGAATCTTATCCAGTGTATCAACAGTGATCCATTCCTTGTGATGGTGCTTCTTGTGACCCAGAACCTCATGACATATTGAAGTGATTGCCTCTTTGATCCCTTTCCAGTTGCTCCCTATAGTAGTTCCCTCTCCATTGAGTAGATTGTGAAAGACCTGGAACCTATTGCTGAGGGCTATCTTGAATTCGTTGGGTCTGTCAGTATCTCGAAGAAAGGCCATATTAAAATTTTGTGATGTTGTCCGCCCCGTTGCCCAGTACTTCTTGAGTTTCAACTTCATCTTGGCGACCAGCAAGTAATGATCTGATGCTATATCAGCTCCTCTCTTGGTTCTCATGTCTTCCATCGTCCTCCTGAACTTTATGTTGATGCAGATATGGTCGATTTGGTTGTGTGTAGTGTGATCCGGTGAAATCCGTGTGGCTTTGTGTATGCGTAAATGTGGGAATATGGTGCCGTCTATGACCAGTTTATTGAAGACACATAGGTTTTCAAATCTCTCACCATTTTCGTTCCTTTCTCGCAGTCAGTCCATGTCGTTCTATGATGTCTTCATATCCGGTGTTTTCCATTCCAACCTTGGCATCGGAATCTCCCATCAGAATGGTCAGGTCCTTTGTTGGGCACTTCTCGACGATTGACTGCAGCCTATTGTAGAATTGATCTTTAGCGTCTTCATTGTAGTCGTTGGTAGGCGCATAGCATTGGATGATGTTCATTGAAATACCCTCTTTCTGTGTTTTGAGGGAGGCTTTGATGATCCTTGGTCCATGAGATTCCCATCCTATAAACACTTCTTGTGCTTGTTTGGACAGCATCAATGCAACTCCTTGTGTATGTGGGGCATTTCCTTCTTCATGACTTGAGTATAACAGAAGCTCCCATGAAGCTAGTTGTTGTCCAACCTGCGTCCAATGAGTTTCACTGACTCCAAGTTTCTCCAGGTTGTATCTCTTCATGACTCTCTCTGTCTCGCACATTGTACGAGCATTCCATGTAGCATTCCAAGAAACTCGGCTTTCACCATGAGGCGTCATAACTCTTCTAAATGAAGACATTCTAACTCTCAGGTTATAGTTAAAATTGTTTGAATTATGTCTCCTACTTAGCATCTTTTTAGCGAGTTGCTTTTTTACGGGATGGGGTCGTTAACTCCGTGCCCTACTCTCCTCCTTTATTCGAGCTTGAGACTGGCATTAACCCCAGAGGAGCTCCAGGCTGCCTTCTTTTATAATGAAAATAATAAGATTTAGTGATATATGAAGTAATCGAGTTGCTCATTTTAACCATAGTTACTAATATCTATAAGATAGTTGTTGAGTTTAGAACATAGGGTTACCGTAAGCTTGAAATTCCCACAAGATTATTAGGACTTCTGATTTAATAGCCGAAGTCAATGTCTTAAATTTTACTGCTAACCATGTAGTGAACATGTACACCAGTAAGGACAATTAAATGTGTTCAACACAAATTACAGGACTTGTTAATAAAATCTAACAATCAAATAGTAAATACGTAATTTGCAAAATATCCATCAGTTGTCTCATAGTAACTCAGACTTCATTGTTCTTGCATTTTCATACGAATTGCATTCTGTTTCCATTCTTTACTGTTCGATCTTCTTGTTTCTCTGCTGCCAGACCTTCTTTTCACGACTAACATCACATACTAATTATGTCAATATAAGTAGCACACACCACAACCATATTGCCAAATATACTAAGGACTTGCTATTTCATTTAGACTTTTCTTGGTACAAGTTAAGTTTTCATTGTTTAATGATATCTACATGCGTCAGCCAGATCACAACCAACTAATATATATTAGTTCAGCCGAAGTGTATATTGTTTATTCTTCGTGATCAAATTTGTTGACATTATTAATTCTTGAATTAATTAATTGTGCATTCCTCCTAAAACGTAATTTAACTAGATGGAGGGTAAAAATAATAATTATTATTATTATTACGTGAATTTTATATTCTTAAAGCTTAACAGTTAGTGCATAACGTATTTAATTAATAATACCCCACCACCCCCCGATGTACAAATTATTAATTATCTAATTTTAATAAAATTGTATCCATCTAATATTAATTTACAGTATGATATTTCATCAGTCAAATCATTCAATTGACGTAAACCATTTGCAAATTATTCATGCAAAAATCTATTACACCACCATCACCAGCACCAACAACAACAATAACAAAAAAGGTTAACAACTAGAAAAAAAAGACAAAAAAAATTAATTCTTTAATAAAATACAATATTACTTTATATCTCATTTACTGTACATTAATCTGCCGATTTTTGCTATTTCAAATTGTTTCTATCTAGGTTTATTAATATATTTCTTATATGGAATTAAAAATACTGATCGAATATCAGAAGAAAATAACAGTGTAATTTCATCAAATTGTCTTAGTGATATAGAATATGAAAAGAAATCATCAAAAAGTAATTCATCAACAGATGAATCAATAGAATTTGTTGATCCAATCAGATTTTGATCAAATGATTTTCAATATTAATTGACATGAATTAAAATTAGAGAACACAAAAAAAATTTTTTTTTATTTTCTAACATCATATGATTGATTAAATGAGAAACAGCAACAACAACAAAAAAAACAAAAAAAAATTAGAGACAGAGAGAGAACTCATGTTACATTACATAGATACATATAGTTCTTTCAATCATTTAAGAAGAGAATAAGAATAAAGATTATAACAGAATAGTATGAATTCATTTTATTTATTTATTTCAATAGAATTCTGATATCATATATGTAACATTTTATATTAAAAAAACAAGAGACAATATCATTTATTATAAAGATTTTTGATTAAATTGTAACTTTCTTATTTAAACAAATCCGTATCAAGTAATTTCTTCATAATCTAATGTTGAATATTTGTGGAAATAACGTCTGAATGATAGCGAAGACAGAGTTAAAAAAACGTTTGATTGATAAGTGGATATATATGATTGAAAAGTACTAATATTAGAAACTACTTCTGTATCAGTAGGCTTCAACGTACATAAAAGAAAAAGCAGATTCTCAATTACAACACAGAGAGAATACCAAGCAAACCAATCACCTTTGATTGAGAAACTCTGGAAGATGTGGAATGATTCACCTACCTGGGAAACATCATCAATAAACAATGAGGATCAGATGCAGACTTAAAGGCGAAGATTAGCAAAGCAAGTGCCATATCCCTACAATTGAAGAATATATGGAACTCAGAATAACTGTCAACCAGTATCAAAGTCAAAATCTTCAATACCAACGTCAAGACAGTCTTAATGTGTGCATTTGAAACTTCCAGAACTACTATAACCATCATCAAGAAGGTAAAAGTATCTATAAGCAGTTATCTACTCAATATACTCAGCGTACATTGGTCGGATACCATCAGCAACATCCTTTTGTGGGAGAGGACAAACCAGGTTCCATCCGAAGAGGAAATTAGGAAAAGACGATGGAAATGGATAGGACATACATTACGCAAATCATCAAACTGCATTAAGAAGCAGGCCCTAACTTGGAATCCGGAATGGAAGCAGAGAAGAGGAAGGCTAAAGAATACATTATGTCGGGAAATAGAAGCATATATGAAAAGGATGAACAACAGCTGGAAGGGTCTGGAAAGGGTTGCCTAGGACAGGGTTGGATGGAGAGTGCTGTTGGGCGGCCTATGCTACTCCACGAGGAGTAACAGGCATAGGTAAGTAATATTGGAAACTGAAATTGTTTGCAGTAGATTTCAAATCCTTGTTTCTTATTTTGTTATCACCAATAAAAGTGAATATATTCATATTTTTTGAAGAATTGTTGCTGTCAATTAAAGTGCTAAGTGAGGTTGACAACTGTTGCAATGTTTAGTTTTTCCAATGAATTCAATAAACTTACATTAAGCAGACAACCAACCAGTTAGTAATCATTCATAGTCATCAATTTAACAGCGTTATACAAACAGATATTGTATAGTGAAAGTTTTGAAAAAATACAACTAGTTTACATAATGAATACGGAAATCTTAAAGATTGTAATATATCATCTAATATGCCAGTTAGGCAATGAAGTAAACAATAAGTCAGGCTTTTTAACCGAAATACACTTAACAAACTATAATTATTTCAGAAGACTGCACTTCAAAATCATTTTATTCACAGGAGTCTCACTGAGAAGTTCACTAACAATTTCAAAAACACATCGATCCAACTCTCTGTTTACAGTAATACTTCTCATTTGTTTGAAAAGATATATGAAACGAAGACAGACAGTTTTGTTTTAAACCTATCCTTAAAAATCTCTTACTTATTTCTCTTGGCTGAAAACGAAATATAATATTCTCCAAGTAATGTTAAAAGTATTAGTTTTTATCGTACTTCTTAAATTATGCAAAACAGATCAGATACTTCGTAATCAAGTTCGTGATCTAATCATCGTTATTTCTGAAGGCTATGAATAGTGCTGAGGTTCGAAAATGTATGGTTCATTATAGTGTATATAATCATTCAATAAATGTTTTTATTTTGGAACATAAGCTTCTACGATTTGTAATTGTTTAGTCATGCTGTTTAGTTGATGTTTTCAACTCAAATTGGCTAGAATTAGTAGGTAATTAGTCACTTTATCAAATTAATTTGTTTAATCTGGTTGGCGGTTTTTAGCAAGATTTTTCTACGGGATGGAGTTGCCGACCAGATGCTCAAACCTCCTCCTTTACCCAGGCTTGGGACCAACAGTAACTCTGGAAGAGCTACAGGCGGAGTTACTCTATCAAATAGCAAATGAAATAAAAAGAAAGTTATATAGGGTGTTGGCATTACAATATCATAGGTTTAATTCTACAAAGCATGTGAGTCAGTGACTTGAGATGGTAAGAAACATAGATCAAAATATATGTCAGTTATAATCCAGTTGTATTTTGTCGAGTACACAGTAACATGCACCAATATCCATTTTCGTTGCGTTGTTAAATAAACAGTTTCCTTACTATTTTGTTTAAGATGGTGCATTATCTCGTTTGATACTGTAAAAGATATTATTTAAAGATATAAAAATAATTATTTCCTACACTTTTAGCTATTCCTAGTAGATACCCTTAGATATTTCTAAAAAAGAAACGATCTTATAGATTTCCCCACTAAGGCGTAACTTTATTGGCACTTATTATCAGTCAATCTTACAAACATGTATTGTGATTATGCAACTCCTTCAGTTGCTAATTATAAATCACATTTGAATAGTTTAAACTCTATGACGATTTGAAGTTAAATCTCATGAGATAACCATTTAGGTATCCTTCCCCTTACAGTAATGAAAATTGATTGATTAAATCTTCTAAATTAGTTACTCCAAATTCAATGTTTTACTTTTATAAGTTACTGGTTTCTTTATGGAACAAATCATAATTATTATGATAAACATATAGGTTAATTTCTATTTGCGGGTGAAATGAATTTATATTATCAGATGATATGATAGATATAAGAGTTTTAGAGATGACAGGTAATTGTCATCCTCACTGTGAGTTGCCTATTATAACTTGACATTTTATAAGTAGAGACAAAACTGGTTGCTAATTTGTTTTATCGTTGAAATGACGAAATACTAGATAATCAATTAATTAAGGCACTAGTTCGTTGTTTATACTGAAATATGTGAGAATTTTCAGTATAGTTATACAATGATATAAAGCTTTAAATTATTTTTTGGTTCTTACCAGTCACCAAAAACATCAAGTTTAAGAAATTGACATTGATAATAGTCGATTGAAGTGTATCCAGAAAAGATTTTCAAAATAAAGATAGAATTCCATACCAGAAACTATTTTAAAAAATCAGCAAATCCAAATAATCTAAAATTCAGTATTAATGCAAATCGATATTTAATGACACTTGAAGTCCTGTAAAGAGAAAATGATGGATTAGAAGAGAAACTTCCGAAAATACTTATTTATAGATTGTAAAACACATGTACTACTGAAATGGTTAATAGTAAAGCTATAGATAATATTCAAATAAAATAAAATATGAATACTGAAATGATTATTTACTTAAATGGTCAAATAAAGATCAGCTAACTGATTGTTACGCATATATAAGCGAACAATATTTTTTTCGATTAGATCTTCATCAGGCTTTACTCTAATATACAGTAATATTTATATGCATATACGAATTTATTAAACCAATCAAGGTAGTTTATAAGTCAATGATAACAATGAAAACGATTACATAATAAGTGAAATATGAAAAGTACAAATTAATGGAGTGACAACAGGTGCATTAGTTTCGATAAGCAATAATAAAGGTTCAAATCAATGTTACATAATCGGAAATAGGTCAATGATTAGAAAAATATAGAAACTGAGATAACAATTATAAAATTATAAGATGACGTAATAAGAAATGCATATAAATATTACTGTATATTAGAGTAAAGCCTGATGAAGATCTAATCGAAAACAATATTGTTCGCTTATATTTGTTGTTCTAAATTTACAATATGGGAATATTTCAACTTTTGAAGTCACGTGGGGATTCGATTGCATTTAAGGTGCTCAATGAGTTTCTAAATTTTAATGCTCGTCCCACTGAAGCGAAAACATCTTTGGAATTTATTAATGATTGTATACGGAATGATAGATGACGTAATAAGTACTGTTCAGATAATTGGACCATGAAACGTATAGTTGAGAGAAAATAAAGTGGTAGGAGGGGTTGAAGAAAAATAATAAACGAAGAGAAAGTTAGAAAAAAGAATAAACAAATTCATTTATTACTTAAGGCCAGGGGAGAGATAAGGGAGTTACAAATTTCTTCTGAACACAAAGACTTGGCTTGTTGGCTCGGATTCCTATAGCTTCTGCTATGTGTAAGAGACGAGATCGAACACCATAAGGAAAACTAGTGGGAATCCGATAAATAACTTTGAACGACTTGTTTCTGTCCACTATATGACCGCTATCGATCAAGTGTGATAGAACCGAGCTGCGTATTGTTTTGACGTAACCTTTTCCTAACCACGAAGGGAGGTGTTCACTAACTCGTTGGTTCAGTTGTCTGGTAGTGCGCCCAATATAGCTTTCTCCACAGGAGCAGCTGAATTCGTAGATACACATAGAAGTGGCATAACCAGGTAACTTATCCTTCAATTGCGGAATCACCATCGATCGGGTCGAATACGATAGGCAGAGGTTGGCAGCATTAAACGTTCTCTTTACTGCTCTAGTCAATCTATCCCGTAATACATCGCTAGCCAAATCACCATTGAATTGCAGTTTCAAGAAAAGCGGTTTCTTATTAACCGTCAGAGTCACTATTTTCTTGTTTTTTACGCGCAAGTGTTTCTTCAGGAAACCCAGTGGATATCCCAATTCAATCAAAATATTATGAATGTGTTGTAATTCCCTATCAATAGTGTCGACTGAGCATATCTTAAAAGCTCTATTTGCAAGACATTTGACTAAGTTTCTCTTATAATGAAGAGGCACAAAGCTTAAAAAATGTGTGTATTGGCTTGGAGAAAACTTTTTCTATACACACCCTGCTGATAAAACCATTTTCTTTTCTACTTAACAAAACGTCCAGGAAATTTAGTTTGTTATCTAATTCCTCTTCACATGTAAATTTAATAGCAGGATGTTTGTTATTAAATAGTTCCAGTAGTTGTTCTTTTTTAATGTTCTGATCGGCAATGATGAGAGTGTCATCAACGTAACGACAGTAGAAATCCAGTTTATTGATAACCTCCTTGAGGTCCGTTTTCTAGTTTCGCCAGAAAAAAATCCGCAAGGATGGGACCTAGTGGCGAACCCATCGCTATACCATCAATTTGTCTATAATATGTGTTATTAAAGACAAAATGGACATTCATTGTGCATTTTAAAAGTAATTCTTTAAGACTAACCCAGGAATTCCAATATTGATTTGTTTTTCCTGCAGTTGTTGGCACACAAAATCGATAGTCTCTGTTAACGGTACATTGGTGAACAGGGAAGCAACATCTAAAGATATCATTCGTTTCCCATTTAAATTTATATGTTCTACTTTCACGCTTCTATTGACGATTAATTTGTGTAAGGGGTTTAGGATACGAACTAGCCACTTTGCAGTTTTATGATAATGTGAATTATACATATCTAAAACTGGACGAAGAGGAAGACCTGTCTTGTGAACTTTAGGTAAACTACATAGTGGCGGTGTGTTCGATCCAGTAGGCTTGAGTGAGTCATGTATGTCAGGAGTAAGAATACCTTTATTTTTAATTCCTTCAGTGAGTTAGTCAGCAATTTATCTGCCTTCATATTTAAGTCATTAACGTCGTTGAGTTCCTGAAATTTTGTCGGATCATTGAAAATCACATTCATTTTATTAATGTAATCAGCTTTGTTCATAAGAACCAGCCCCCC